CGGGTCTGTGCAACACACTTCATACCATTGGTCAAGCTTGTTCGCACTCTTTTCCCTGGCCACTCGTTACATGTATAATGTTTGAAATTGGCACACACCGAGCTGTTCACATGAAACAAGCATATTGGGGCTTAGCATGCGCCATCGTGTAGGCCAGTTCTTTTGTCCCCACGGGGAAACCACTTTTGTGTATATCCTTGCATTGGCCTGCAAGATGGCAGCCATGCAAACCCTCTATTGTTAGGGCCTGATTCGTTGGAAGGAAAGTGCCCACAGTCGTGTCTGCATCCGTATGTGCTATAAGCAAGCACAGAGAGTACATAGAATTGCACCTTGGTTGGTATTAAAATCGGTTTTGTCTTAGCAAAATTCATCTATGCCGAGCAAACTTTCAGCTTATCATTCAGCCCAATGCCATGAGGGCGTAAAGCGGCAGCAAGGCCGCAGAGACCTTTCTTCAGGCCTGTCACTGTTGGGTCCCGGGGTGCAGCCATCAAAATGTGCTCCTCTGGATGGTGCTGCAGCCCTCCTCCCCCGCCCCCATATGTTCGACGCTGGAAACCGGGCGGCCTATCTTTCGCGTGAAACAGGTCCAGGGGCACTGTCGAGATAATGAGTCTGTCGGATCCGTTCACATTCGGAGGGTTGAATTCCGGGCATTCGTTTGTGAGGTGGACAGTCCACACTCCGCAAACCACATTCACATTGTCACATGGCTCCGGTCGCGTGATGGAAGCTACGTGCATATGCGCAGTGGGCCGGCCGGCCAGGGGCAAGGCAGGCACCCACAGACCTGTCATCCCCTCTTGGTCTACACCCACCTCTGAACTTTGAAGAGGTTCAAAAATGAGCTTGACGTTGTTTCTGCTACCCTTTCAGGTCCCTTATGAAAGAAAACCGAGCTCCCTGGAAGAGCCCCTTGCAGTCAACTGGAACATAGTTTACTCCGCTGTAGGACTGATCCCAGACCGGCAATCAAGGAGGTCAGACAGGGACTGGCGCTCACGACCTTTAAAACTGACACATAGCAGGCACGCATACCATCCACTTAAACAGGAGGATGTGTCCAATTAGGCAATCTTATAAACGCCCAGTACCTGCAAGACACATTCATAAAAATTTCAAACCAATGATTGCGGCATACCAATTTCATAAGCGAGTCATCAAAGTGGCAAGTCAGGTATTTCTTGCCAGATCGCGTAGGCCTACTACCAAACAGACACAGAGAAATCGCAATACACTCAGAAGACATATTTTTAAAACCTTCCACGACACAATTCATGATGATTGTGTGCATGCACACAGTGTTGAATAACGTTTGCCGGTATGATTTTTAACGCCCACGCGACGGCTGCCGCACACAACGCCCCAATTTGAAATAAGAAAACATATTTCGACTGCGAAACGCGTTTCTGAGCAGCCGAGGCTCTTCGGACCGACATGGATGGGAGGGAGTATTGTTTTAGCTGCTGGTAATTTTATTGAGCATGAAATTTGATTTTCAGAGCTTGACTTGAGAGCTGTTAAGGAAGAATGCCGGGTGTTCTTCCTCACACTGACGAAGGTTGGGGGGAGTTGATGATGACGCTACGGGTGTTGTTGCTAAAAATTAGACTTAACACAGCTCTCTAGATTTGAAGATCAGTCATCGCCTTTACTGGTCGGCATTTATTACACTATAAGTATACGGTTTCCAGGGTTGGAAATGGCAAAAATAAGTAGTGGCCACAAAGTCCACTATTCCAATCTGATCAAAGAGGGCAGTTAACAGAAAGCAGTCTGCAAAGGATTCATTGTGGAAGACGTGCAAAAGTATTCATTAATACAACAAGGCTGTGTTTAAATTAATTGGCTGCAGCTGAAAATCGCACACGACTCTCACAGACTCGTGTGTAATTTGAAGCCAGTCACGTGATTCAGACGCGACCTAGGTGTTGTGCTTCGAAAACACGTAAATGTAGATATAATTTGGGAAATCGTGAGCCATTTCCAAACGCAAGTCGCTAACAGGAAATGGTAATGGTAGTGTTAAACAGGAAATAACAATCGTATTGGTCAAAATATTCTTCAATGGTGTAAAAAAGAACATGTCACAGTAGAGTGTTTCTAATAAAACGGCTCTTAAGCATAATTACAGTTTTAGCAAACTATGGAGACTATGCTCCGACACGGTTAACGAGGAAGTCGGGTTATCCATAAATAAGATGGGAATTTTCATCGACGGGGAAAGAAAAGCCAAAGGTGAAGGTCGACTTTCGACCTCACTGAAACTCGAACGTCAGAAAAAAGAAAAGAAAAACACGACCAACGATCGGAAAATAAGCAAAGCCTGACAATCTCTTTCAACTGCTAGGGCTGCGGTGCGGTCCGATCGGTATTTTGATGGGAGTGGTTTAAAGTTCACGTCTTTCACAGAATCAAATGAATGCCAGCTCTCTGGTCTGGTATCAACGGGCGTTAATTTTGGCAAGGAGGCGAGGGCGAGGATTGGGTTCAACGAACGGAGCGGGCTCGGGGTAATAAATGACGGCGGCCGCCAGTAAAACACGTGCGCGTGAAGTGGCTGCACACAATTCTGAGTTACGCGGTGACGAACAAATCTGATAAATGTGCATGTTCAGTTGTACACATGTACATCAATATCAATTCTACTATTATTGACATAATATGGAGAGTAAACGAGTAATGTTCTTTATTTATCGGGGCTGTGTGCGTAACTGTAAGTGGTCTCAAGTCTACCAAGAGTTCACTATGTGCGAACAGAACCAACATTGGATCCTGGAAACACTCAGGTACAACTGAAGTGACATTAGCAAGCACTAAATTAAAACATTCCTCACAGATAAACACAGGGCTTTTGACTTGGAAGTGGCATAGACCTCAGGTCACACCACTTTGATAATGGTTGTGTATTCATTCCATGTAAGGGCCGACATTCGGACACGACAACTCAATATCGAGCATCATGTTTTCTTCGCGAGCTTGGGTGCGACGGTGCATGCATGGGGTGAATAAACCCCGTTTTCAACTCGTGGGTCACAGACACCATTCAGAGAAAACATAAACCTGCCAGCACAGTCGTAAAACCATAACAGCACCTCAAACCTGGCTGCTGCTGATGATGATCGAAGCCAAGCAGGCGTGGCTCTAATAAACCACGATGAACTTCGTCCTTGTCTAGTCTGGGCGATAAGGTAGCAGAGTCGTGTAGAGCAAAGCAGAAGAGAATCATTACTGAAGGAATAATGCACACTTATTCATACTTGGCATTTTGCCTTAAGTTAAAACCTCTGAAGTAAAATGGCCCATAATATTGGGCCTAGCGTACGTGTAGGAAGCGGCAACAGTTAGCAGTAGCAGCAACGGGAACTCCATCTAGATAAGTAATAACTATCTGACTATTACCAGAACACAAAATGATTAGCATAATACAGACGCGCATGCGCGGTTGTCTCTTTAATATGAGTCTACGTGTGTACTTGTGTAGAAGATAAAATCTCAAGTTGGGTCCAACAACAAGAGTGTCTATCGCTCATCGGCAGAGCTCCTCTCTCTCTCTCTCTGCGTATCGCTGCAGTGACCGGATAATCCCGTTTTCCCACACTTCTATGTATATATTGTATAAAGCCACCATGACTGGCCCATCGACGCCAACAGATACAATCTCTAATTAATCTGTTCGTGTCAGAAGCGCTTTTGGGCTGACGTGTCAGCATGTCCGTATAGACGTCATTCCCATCAGATGGAAGGAGGCTGTGTGCTTCTGTTTCATGAGGTAATCAAATTCCGCACAGGCAAAAACTAGACGTGTTAAATTTTTGTTCCCTTGCTCTTTTTGAGGAAGTCGTTTGCACTCATTTCCACCGAATGCCTCTCGTGACGAGAATGGCGCATTAACAGAGTAAAAAAAATTCCGATCTGTGGCGCGGGTGAGCCACAAAATACACGACTTGAATACGGGCTGAGATTTTTAAAAAATGCGAATATTAAGGACTGTGGGAAAATGTATCGAAGAGCGAAAAAGAAAAGTTTTTTGCATTCTTTCAGGTAAAACATGGCACAAAAAGAGACCTGGTTTCTGTTCAGTATAGTGTTCCAAACCGGTAAGGTAATTATGTTCACAAGAACGATTTGGGGGGAAGTTTCTTTTTTCAAATTTTGTAACATGAAACAGTAGTCTTTTCAGCCTAATTCAATTAAAAAAGACAATGTTTCTCTCAATCAGGTTTATGTTCGCAAAGGCCAAAACACTGAACATTCGGGTTTCATTACAGCGGGCCAAAAGTCCGAAGGTATTCTTGGCAAGTAGAGCACGTTCCACTCGTTCCACCGGCTTGACTTCCCATGTGGTACAAATTTTCATGGGAGATAGATGGGAGACAGATTATATGGTACGAAAGACTGCATAGTCTTGATTCAAGCTATGGAGTATTCAAATGGAAAAGAACATTCAAACGAAAGACATCTTGCAGCCAACAAAACAAAACAAATATATCTCAGTTTGAAAAAAAAAGGTCCAGCAACAGTCCGCTTCGAAGCCGAACAACTTCGAAAGGCACAGAACACAAAATCAACATTTCTTACATTACAGTCGTGGATCAATAGAATGTATGGATCTTGATAACAGTCCCAAGACGCAGCTTTTCTCCTGTTTTTTTTCGGTGGGGAGGGGGGGGCTAGAGCCACATGTCACACAGCACCACATAGTGGCCAATTTAAGTAAAGTGAGAGGATTCCCTGGGACAAATTTGTTGAGGGAAAATCAACCTGATCACACAGGGATAGCCGAAACCTTGTAAAAATTTCCATTTCCAAACCGGAGGTTACAGTGGAACTACATACAATCTGTAACGACTGCCCGTGTCGCTACACTGGCTTAAACAAGGACCGAATGTCGAGTGTCATGGTGTCCTGGACCATGTTCCACCGCAATGGAGTAGCCTGAGATCTGAGACACTGTTTCTAATATATCAAACACTTGTAGCTAACTTTCAACTTACCCCGTTCGCAGGTTGTCCCAGTGAAGCCACGGTCACATTTGCATCGGTTGGGTCCGACACATGTTCCGTGTACGCACTTGTCTTGGCAAACCGCTGCAGGAAAAAAAAAAGAAAACTTTTTACGTTTTTTAACTTAAACGAAAACGGAAAACAGCTAGTGGCTTCTCTCGGCCATCGTACGACCGAACAATATTTCACCTTTTTCTACGAAGATTTCTTTCCGGCCTTTTTTCCACTTCGAACATAAACTTCACCTGTCCTCAGGAAAATTGAGTCTTGCGAAATAATTATTGAGGCCCGTCATTAAAAGAAAAATTTGACAAAATGTAAATAATTATTTAGATATGTAAATAAGAGACTGATAATAAATTTCGAATTTCAGATTAGAAGGTAAAGCGATTAAATTTCAGTGTCATATTATACTTAACAGTTGGGATGCAATAAATGTCAGATTCAGGACGTCGTTCTCATTTGCTTTCATGCGAAGGTTAAAGAAATTGGTTTGGACTGTCCTCAATTTTGATGACAGTCACGCGTGGCATTGATGCTTCACCAACACTAGTTCAACAAGACCCCAGTCTTTCGCTACAAGTGCGTCTAATCACTGTTGTCATGTCCACGAAGGTGCTGCAGAACTGCTTTGTGCAATCATGTTGTTCCCGTCGTTCAGCGGCAAGAAAACAGAAACTTGGGAAAAAACAATCGATTTTTTTTCCCCGTCTGGATAATTTTGTATGCCTTCGTCAAGGGCATGAACGTGCGGCCTTGTCATACCCTGCCGGCTATTCCACGATTTCGTGCCGAGTCCGACAACCTTGCCATGGGTAGCTCCACGTCGTGCCGAACTTAGAAATGCCACATCCATTTCGTAACGATCTGACATCCTGTTCGCTTTTGTCTTATTGTCTTCTGGTTTCCGTTACTGAAGAAGTATTTTGTATCAGAGTCTTTTGTAAGGTCAGCAATTAAGCGAGTGCTAACGTCGTTTCAATCCAAGTCCAGAACAACAACTCAAAGTAACTTGGTTTTGCCTTCCAGTGGATATAATCACAGTGTTCTGTTTGTTCAAATTTTCACCGACAGTTGATACAAGAAGGCAGGTATACCAATCTCAGAATATGACTTTGCATTGTGTGGTTGCTTCAGTCATGAGGCCAGGGATGGGATTGCGGATTGAGAAGACGGACCACGTTCTGTCCGTCAGGATGTGCTATAATTTTTTTTTATACTTAAGGTTTGCGGATACAACATACAGGTAAATTGAGATGAGCGACAAGTGCGCTATGACTGATGTTTATTAGAGTAAAAAGGCTTACTCGTGGCTTGTAAACGTAATGATAACGTAGTTCGCAGATAAGTGACACTACTGACGGTGTACTTGAAAATCACGGGGCATAGGCCTCAAAACGATCGTGCGTGCATTAAGTTAGAACGTCATTTTCGAATAGGGAAAACTAAGGTGCAATATGTTGGTTTTCATTTAATTTGTTCATTTTTTTTTATTTGCACGTCACAAACATAACACCAGAACTGATCAACGTGAGGTTAAAAATCACGGGCCGCTTTGTTGTCAGTAACGCAATGACGTAACGCCTGTAGCTAGTTTCGGTCTACATCCGGCACTCGAAACTGTGTTTACTCAAAATACCGGTTTATCTAATTGGAGACACCGGCAAAAAATACCAGGTGCCCTAAGCAACAAATGTACCGGTACAGGCTTTTTCTTGACGGTTTTCAATTAACTCGTCCATGCAGTGTGCGTACAGCTGCGAGACTAAATCTCCTTTGTTATGTCTGACAAATATAAACGAGTCATTTCCGAAGTCGCTTCATTCAACTTGTCACAGCAACATTAACACAGAAATATCGACGGGGTTTTAATGCCTGGAAAATAATTGTGAGAAAAACTGGGATTTTTTCACAACACCATTACCGACTAACTCCTCTTATTTCTGGTCTAAATTCGCAAGTGTCGTTTAAGCAAGTTGAAGGACGCCTACAATCTAACTCGGCAGGCCTAATTTACACTGGAAAAGTCATATTTAACGTTATGCCATAGTGCATACATAATGAGGGTGCAAAACACTAATAAATGATTTCAGCAACCAGAAATAGAAACCAGAGGCACAAAACTCGCGGACAGGTGGTACGCGCGCGTTATATGCCTCTTCGACCAATAGGGTGTCGCGATTTGCCCGAAAGCACGCGCGCGTCAAGCTGAAGAATGTGCGTGTGAGTGCGGTACCACCATAGTTATAGCGTCCAATCAGATTGAATCAGCGTTCAATTTACACAGATGTGCGCGGAAACGCCCGCCTTCGAAGTCTGCCAACACTCTGGCATTCATGAATCTGCCGATCCGGTTCGTAAGTGTGACGTCACTTCAGTTTAAACCACGCCCACTGCACATACATGTATTTACATGGAACCATGGAACTGGAAGTTAATGCGCAACTTGAGTATTCGTCCAATGCATGGAAGCCTGCAATCAGTGGGTGTGTGAATGGCGAAGTCATTTACGAACGGGATAGAAATACACAGAATCACATATGCACACACGCCTCCACGGACAAGGTCAGGTACACTTCCTCCAATGCCTTTGCCCGTCTTATTACGTCACGTGATAAACCTCTATAGGTTGCTTGTTCAGCCATAATGGTTGGCCACGTCCTTGGCAATTGTTGATAAATGCACAATATCCTTATTTGTTTTTCTTTGGGGATGCTTGAGTGACATGCATGTGATTCCAAAAACAGTTAGACTAAGAAGCCAAAACATTATGTTCCAGAACATTTGTAAAGCATTTTGATGGAGGTGGGCGTACATGTACTTCGGGGAACTTGAGCCCATCGAGTACACATTTAAATGCAGCAAATGGTTTCGATCAAAATAACTCGTAAATCTATTTGCACAAAATGGTGCGACCTTCGATTTATCGGTTAATCCAATTCCAGTACGACTCCCACGTATGATTTACGAGTACATGGAGTTATGGAAGTCAGTCCAGGAACCTTATAAGACGACGCCAGCGAACGCGCTAGGCTCAGGAAGAGTATGCAAAGGGGAAGAGATCTGAAGCCATTCAGAAGAACACGGCCCATTTACATTCAAGTTCTCCATATTAAAACAAATAGTTTTTCAATCACTTCCGCTAACTGACACTTTTACCAGGCATATAGTCCTTTCGTGTAACCCATTTCTGTGAGTAGTTTCCAAAGGGAAGTAGCGGTCTAGCGTGCCTACGATTTGCGGGTCTTTGTTTTTTGGAACGCCTGAACTGGTTTGTCGATAAAGGTTGAAAATCCGTCTGTGGTTACAGTGGCAGCTGCTACAGCGTGAAACGGAAAAAATAGTCTGTCAGTTTGGTTTCCATTGAGAGGATTTAAGTTGGCGAGTATTTGGTTTTCTAGGACACCCTGAGGTTTAACAGTGTCGAAGACAAAGGTACAGCAGCCACTGCAGACAAATGACGCCATGGTTAAATTTATTTTATTTTTCAATTCCATGAAGGCTTGTACAGAATGACAGCAAATTATAAAAAGAAGGAACCTTCAAGCTGTGTTGGTTGATAGGAGCACGGCATTGCACAATTTTATCACAACCAGAAAACAAAGACGCAGAAGATTTATGTTTCAGGGATAACATTTTCTGGCGAGTCCATGACGTGACTGGATATGTCTCTATACCTGACCCCTCAGGCAAAGTACAATGACGTAAGTCAATGCCATTCATCAAGGCAACATGCTGTTGACTCTCTTCGTGGGGGACTCGTTAAGCATCAATCTCTCAGTTGATCCAACTTTAGCTCCAAAAAAACAGCAGTCGATAGCAGTCAATTTCCTCCGGAGATTCGACGGTGACCACAGTCAATGCTGGCCAGCCTGGAACACCACCTGGCGACTTGTGTCTAGCTCTTCCCTGGCTTCGTGTAAACCAAAATGTGCCGCCTGCACATGAGAAAAGTCCCCGAAGTATCGGGTACGGCCCGACGACCCAACAAACCGGGTCGTCTTTCTCGGCTTTCTTCCCAGTTTTCTTTGACGAAGAAATCGAATATTTGACCCCGGCCGCGTCCTGCTGTGCAGATATTGGCGGGTCACCCACGTCACGGCATTAACTGAATAACTACCTGTGCTTGTTTTTTCCAATTTACCCTCCCTCTTGGAGCTCCCCACAATAACTCTTTTTCCCAGACAGTGGAATTCTGCCCTCAGAGCCTTTAAAGCCGCACTTCCCGACCGGAGGAACGTCTGCCACAGTGGTCCCATACAGTAGGCCTACACACAAAGGCCCCTCGAGTGAAGTTTTTAACATGAAATTTCTTTGGAAACTTTACCATTGAATTCCGAGCATGGATTTTTTTTTCGCGCATCCAGGTAAGTTTTGTTTAGTCGCCCAACAAGTAGCAACATGTCGAACACCGATCGACCAAAAAAAAAAAAAAAAAAACACACACACAAATGCTGCTCCGTCAAGGTCACCAAGCAAGAGCGTTCAAGATCAACCGGCGCTTTGAACACACAAAAGCCCATGCGTTATTTAACTAAGTCGGCACATTTTGTGGCGTTCAGCGGGTTAAACTGGGGGAAGGACAGGAAATCGCCGGACAACAGAGCCGTCCTTGGGCGTCTGCGTGCCCGTCCAAAGGGTGTGAAACAGTCAGTACTAATCAAGAAAGGGGAAAAAACAGGATTGGCTTGGCGCAGTCACACAACACCTCCGAAACCATATTTGGAAAGCAAGGTAAAGATATCCCACACGTCGGCATCCTGTTGTCTGTTTGATGGTCTCCATCTCAGCCTTGTATCAGTTAAATTTTTATTGGAATTTACGAGTGCAGGTGTTTTCAAACGGTGGGACAAGAGTCGTTTTTTTTTTAAACTCCATGGGAGGTTTTCACTACCCTGAATTTTTAAAAGATTTTTTTTGATTTTGTATTCATTGTTCAATTCTTCAGAAGCGCACGCTCCACCGCACCTGTTCAAGATGAACATGTACATAGGCTACCTCTATGACACTGCCACTGTCGTGGCTGACGCTGAACAATTGGCATAAAAAAAGACAGCGCTCGGGAGTCTTGGGGGGACACATGA